ACCACAACACCCCCCCAAGCCATGTCCCGCAGGACACACTTGGGCCTCGCTAATTCTTCGCCTTCGCTCGCTTCATCGCCTTGCGCAATGCATCGCCTTCGCTCGCTGTCTTCACGCCTTCAACATAGTTCTTCACCACGGCCGGGCATTCATGTATGAGCTTCTGCAGCGGTTCCCATGAAGACTCGATATCCTCAAAACCTTCCCAAAGCACTTCCAGCATGAAGACTTTCACATCCGGGACAAACTTGTGTCCCGCGATGGATTTGACCTTCAGCATGATCCCTTGCTCGGAAATGTGTTCGAGGATTTCTTCGGTCACTTCAAAGCTGTCTTCGGCGTAGAGCTTGACTCTTGATGCGTGCGCTTCCCGCAGTTCGTGGGTCACCAAGTGCTCTAAAACGACGGAGAACTCGCCCACTTCCTTGACTCGGTAGGGGCCCGTCCAGGTTACGAGCAACTTGGGATGTTAGCGTTCGTCGACGCGGGACCAGAGCACATAGTCGCCTTCGCTGACATTGCACTGTTCGTATTTCTCGGTCGCTTTCGTCGCTTTCGCCGCGCGCATCGCATTCTTGTCTAGGACTTCTTTGTGCATGACTTGCAGGCTAGCACGCAGCATGTCCAGGTTTTTGGGGATGTCCTTGACCGTCCAGTCGCTCTCTCGGAGTTCCTTGTTCATGCCCACCACAACGACATCTAGGGGAGTCGCCGGGTTCAAAGCCGTCAACAGCTCCATCGGCGACTTGCTCGCCAGTGATGCTGCCGGTGTTTGGTTGAGGTTGGCTTGCACCACCGGCAATAGGTAGCCCCATTCCTGTTCGGCTAGCTGGTACTCTCGCAGCATGACCCGCATCACTTGAAGGATGTCGCGGTTCATTCGCTCCACCGTTCCATTGCGCCAGGGGCAGTAGGCCAAGGTTAGGTCATGATGAACCTTGAACTTGTGGGCTAACGCCTTCATGGCCACGTTTTTGAAATGGGTTCCTTGGTCGCTGACCCATACTCGTGGCATTCCGAACCGCTTAGTCCAGTCCACCAGGGCATCCACACATACTTGGCTCGTGGGGCCATCGCATGCAATGAGTTCGCAGTAGTGGGTAAGGTCGTCTTTGAGTACCAGCACATACTTAGCGCCGCTGAACGCTTCGCCCATGTAGAGGTAGTCGAAGTGGATTCCTTCGTTGCGTTCTTTCGCGTGCCGTCTCGGAGCATACGGTTGATGGACCACCCTTCCCCCTTTTACACGAGGGCACAACAAGCAGCCACGGAGGAATTCACTGGCCCTGTCGGCCAAGTGGTCGACATAGAACTGGCGGCGGATAGTAGCCACCAGCGCTGCATGTCCACGGTGCCCGGCGCTGCCGCAGTGGGCAGCGACCATGATCCGTTGGATCAGGTCATTCGCCGCACTCGGTATCCATAGCCGCTCGTCCACTTGGCACAGTCCGTCCACCACGGTAGCTCGCTTCGGTTTGTCGTTGCCATGCTGGTCTTGGGCGTGACAGATGTCCACCACACATGGCCACACAAAGTCCTTGTCCAGCGGTCGCAGTTTTGGTTGTTCCGGTGGAGGGACTTTCGTTTTTACTTTCTTTGACCAGCCATGGCCCCGACGTATTTTGACCCGCTTTGTCGCCAGACTTGGTGTCGGCTGACCCCAACGGCTCATCATATCCGCCCAAAGGTTGTGGATGCCGTCGATGTGTATGATTTCATAACGATAGCCGCCAATAATGGCAGCCCATCGCATGAGTTTGCCGCGTGTGTGCGCCTTCCATTCTTCGCCCGGGGCAAAGACATGGATGAGGTTATTGTGATCACAGTACATCTTGAACCCCGTGGGTCGCATAAGCATGTAATTGAGCTTCTCGCACGCACGCGCAATAGGGTAGGCCTCCTTTTCGATGACTGACCACGCCTTCTAGGCGCCCGCAAACATCCCCGACTGACATAAGAGCAGTTTGTGACGTTGTTCTTGGACTGGGCTGTCATCATCGAATGCCACCACTTGTGTTACCACAATCGACCATCCATGATCGCTCGCATCCGTAAAAAAACACATCGTGGCGTCATCACGCGGGTGAGACAGTTCCACCGATG